ATCTTGAAAATCTAGTTTGGATATATTGGGGCACATCCTCACCATTTGTTCAAATTTATGACAAGAAAGTTCTTTTCAGGGTTAATTCAATTAAATTATTTTGCACATATTTATTAGTTGTCATCTGTTTTAGCATATAACATGAATACAATAATTTTTTTTTTCTGGCCTTACCAGCAATGAGAGGTTTTTTATGCAAGCCTATCATAACTTATCACACCTATAATGTAGGCAGTTGGATTATAAGGAACAGATCTGATATTTGGGTCAAAAGATCTGACTTACATCTTGCTGTTATAGAGAAACAGGTTTGAGTTATTTTTACTATAGTTTTAGCTGGCTATCAAAAATTTAGTTCTCGTATGTAATCATTGGTTTATGAAACAGATAAAGTACAGAATAGAACAGGACAATGAAACTCAATGTACAATATTATTGAATTTGAAATTTACTGTTGTTTTCTACTGATCTTCAGTCTTTAAAACTCAAAAGTACAGGGTGTTTCACAGCCCCTCCACAGAGTTTTTTTTTTTTTTTTTTGAATAACTTTTGAACTGCGTGGTTTTCAACCTCAATTTTTTGTAGGTGGCACTTTGAGCAAAAAGGAATTTCTTCTATCACAAAAGCACATTGCTTCAAAACATTTGATTTTTCTGTAAGTGGCCTGGCCACCTTACAGCCCTGATTTGAGTCCACTAGACTTCTTTCTTTGGGGATACATGAAGGATCAGGTGTTCAAGAATAATCTTACACCCTCAGTCAGATCAGAGAAAGCATCAAGAGCATCATGAAGGGTATCTCAGATCAGACCTGTAGGTAATGTGATTGCTAATTTCCAAGAGAGAGACTGCTACTGCATCTCGATAGAGGGCAGACATTTCGAAAATATCTTGCATTAATTTCCTTTTTCATCTTTGCTGAAAATTTTATTAAAAAATTTGAATTTTCAAAAAAGTTATTCAAAAAAAAAAACTTTGTGGAGACGCTGTAAAACACACTGTATAATAATATGCCATATATAATGCATTTAGTAAACTTCAATCATTTTGGCTTAATGTTACATTGTATTGTTATTTTTAAAAACAAATTTTACATTTATAAATTACAGGACCTATTAAGTGTGCAATTTTTTTTGTTTGTATTTTAGACTTTGTGAAGGATTTTTAAGACATTTTGTACATAATTTTTATTCCAGAATCTCAATATATTGTATTAGTGACCACTAGATGAATAAATTTTGTATTGGTAAAATGGTTTAGAAGATTGATTTATATAAAGGATTTTCTTTTTTTATAGTTACATCATTTATTATCTAATAACTGATGGTTCATTGTTTTCTTTAATCCAGAAAAAAATTACAAGCTATCACTTGAAATTCCTGATGGTCATAATAGATCTCATTTATTTACACATTCAAAATATTGACAAAAGTTAACATTTTCCTTAATCAAAAAAAAAATGAAAAAATGTTGTTTTGGCACTTTTCAATTATACTGTAAAACCTTGTTATTTTGATATTGGATAATTTGAAGTCTATTCCCCAGCAAGAGAATAGAATTTCGCACATATTTTAGTTTGATAATTTGAAATATGCATACAATAAAAGACATTAACTGATCCAATGACCTGCCAAAATATTTTGTTTAATTTGAATTTTTCATTATATTAGTTTATAAGAAAGTTTTCATGCCCAAATGGCAGTTTTGGTTTTGCCAATTACACAATTTATTGGATGTCTGTTCAAGGTCATTTTACACATTATCAATGAAGAATCTATTTTTATGGAAGAAATATTTTGTTTGGGACTATTGAAACAATAGAATCTTGCAAAAAATATCCAAATTAATTAAATGCCAAAATCCATTAAATATATGTGCATATTCACAACAGAATGCATAATAGGCAATATGTCCATTTTTAAAGACTCTTTTACAATTGTAGAGAAAGCAGAATCTATGCAACTCAAAAGCAATAATTGGCAGAATTGTCCACCTGTATGTATAGTTTTAACTTTTCTGATTTATAAGGAATCTCCACTTCTATTTCATAGTGTTCTAATACACAGTGACTAGTTAAAATCAATAATAAACCATATTTGTTGTGAGGCTCTGGACAGGTTTGAACTTTCACTAAAATCCACGTTAAAATATTTTTGAATGAAAAAAACACTAGAAATAATTTTTGTTTATGAAAAATGCAATGCAAACATTTAAACAATAGTTGATCTTGGAACTTGATTCTTCTATCTTCAGTTGGGATCAAAATAAATATCAATTTTCACTTATCCTGCAATCTAAGTTGAGATCTTGTTACACTTACCAATGATGACCAACCTTTTAGAAAAGTGAAAAATAAGGAAAAATGACCAATCAGAATGAGTGATTGGAACAGAAAATAACCCTGAATTTCAAGGACATTATGGCTGCTGCTCCTGAAAATTCCAAGTGTAGGACCAATTTATGTTGAGTGCCTATCCTGGAGTCATCAAGACATTGAGCATCCCTGGTTCACGAGTGAGTTCCTTCATTCATTCAGAACTATCTTGGAAAGGAGAGGAAGACCCAGAGACTGCCACTGACTTTGAATTTCCAAGATAATAGAAATCTTATAAGTTCCTTTCATATCAAACGGTTTCTTATAACCATAGTCTGTCTCAGTGCTGATTGCACCCACATATGACACTTTTGATCCCTCATTCATCCTGACCATTGCACCCCCATTTGATATTCTCACATTATTGGAAGCCATCTTACCAGAATGTTTGAAATCTATCAATTCACAAACATTCCAGCCAATTGGAGGACAGTTAAATTGTGAAACAAAGCCTGAAGTAGAAAATCCACCTGCAAACCAGTTGCAGAAACTGGTCCGTGCAATTTTACAATTGTGAATGATGCCAGACCAGAAAACTTACAGTTGCAATAAGAAACTGCATCACAACAGCTGACTGTGTGCCAAATAGATAGGCTTAAGTCTCATTAACTTTGTTAAATTTTAAAATTATTTAATGCTCTTTTTACAGAGGTCCACAGATATGCTCCATAAAATCAAGCACATCACAAGTTGATTTGCATTCAGTTTTTAAAAATATTTATTTCAAAGGTTTAAATTACCCCAGAAATATTGATAAACCCAGTTAAATTTTAATGATTTCATAAAAAACCAGCAGCATTTACAATTTTTTAAAAATAAAATAACTGTAGTGTCGTCATTAAATCCAACCTTATTCAATGACACGAACCCCCCTTTATCTCCCCACCCTGTCGACCTTTAACTACCAAAATTTAATAGCATCAATCCTCACCTCTTTGAGTGTTCCATCACTCAGAGGGAAACAATGGAGTTGGAGCTAAGCACAAGCAGGAACAGCAGCAATTTAGAAATAGAAATTTAGGAATAGACGTATTTGAGGGGTATAAGATTACAGGAGTTTTAACTCTTGTAATCTTATCCCCCTCAACTACCTCTATTCCTAAATAAGTGACAATCTTAATACAATAAACTGTTATTAACGCTTCTTTTCAAAATCGAGAACAGTGTATTTCATCAACCTTAAGCCGAAGACCTCTAACTCAACACAGTTCTACAACCACTCAACCAGTGTAGTACCCTAGTGAACTTAACAGACCCTTCGGCAGTGACATTTGTATAACTACCACCAGCAACGACATATTATCAATTTACCTGAGTAAAAAATGAACATGTTTTTCGAGAGAGAAAAAGCAAAAAAGGAAAACTAACATAATTTTTATGTAACCATACCTCTACCCATTAAAATCACACTATCCTTTAAGGAAACGCAGTTTTAAAGAAAGCATGGAGTGAATGCAAGATCCGGAATTTTTAAGATATATTTCACCTAATTTTAACGAGATTTTAACTTAATTTCTTAACACAATCGTTAAAATAACATCACTGGGAAAAAGATTAAATGTCATCCCTCTCATCAACAACCGCTAAAAGTTTATAACACTCCTTTGAGAATGTCAACATTCGCCCATACAAACATAGTCAATCTGACGTTGCATGTATCAAAGAGTACAGTTGACATCCGATTTCGCCATCATCTTTGTCCCAGGAATACCTATGACACTACACCTGACAAATGTAACCCTAGTCTTTGATAACACTCAATCACATGACCATTTTCCCAGGCCGATCCGAATATAAGTCCAATACACCCCCTCCAGGGCAGTCTCTCTAAAGGAGTTAACTTGTGCACATCAAGGTAGTTGGGACGAAATTTTTTATTAGTGTTAATGCTCAAGAAAGGAATATCTGATTGAACCTCCAAAAATTTGTGAATTTATGATATCCAAAATATTGTAAACTCTCTCTTGGACCCTCAATTTGTACACGAGAGCTTAGTGAAATCAAATACCCTCTCGTTTAAAGGTATGCAAATAGCTTAACCAATGTTGTATTCTATTTTATATTTTTGTAATTTTGTTATTCATTAAATTTTTGATTTTTCTTGTTAATGGTGTCTATTACATCGCATACACTTTACCGACGACCCCCCTCACCCTCTTCCACTTGACCTGACAAACTGATCCCGATACCGTGGGATGAAATGCGCCATCCACTGACCCAGTGAGCAGTTTTCACCAAACTGTTGCCAGTAAAGGGGTAAGACCTCAGCCTTACCCCTGGTTACTCACATAAGGATACTTTGATTATATAGTCAAAGTATAATTTCATAATAAAAATATGTAAGGATGAAAATTTAACCAGGGTTTAGGAATGTATAAATGACAAAAGCACAATATTTTCTTCAACTTTGATTAAAAAACTGTCTGACGAAAGCTGCATTAAAACTTGGTTCCTGAGAAGAAAAACTTCAGAAGATTTTGATAAATCAAATAATCAAAATANAAGGCAAATGCCAGAAGAATAAGAAGGCAAAGCCAAAGGGATTCTTGGAGGAAGTATGTTTCTAGCATAACATCTTCCACCAGCTCAAAAGCAGTCTGGGATAAAATCTATAAAATTAATGGGAAATATGCTTCTCACACTCTGTCCATGCTGGAAAATAATGGCACAATAATCAGCGATATACAGGGTATTGCTGATACGTTGGGCGAAACGTTTTCTACTTCATCTAGCAATATTATGTATTCAGGAAATTTTCAGGCTTATAAAGCCCAAAGTAAAAAACAATATTTAAACTTTCATTCCTCATATAATGAGGACTATAATGTGCCATTCACCAGCATAGAACTACATACAGCGATCTCTCGCTCGGGTAATAGTGCTGTAGGACCGGATAAAATTCACTACAGCATGATTAAAAATCTGTCAAACAATTCCCTTTGTAATCTTCTGTGTCTGTTTAACAGAATATGGACAGAACATACTTTTCCTGACTCTTGGAGGCTATCTATCGTTATTCCCATTCCCAAGCCTGGTAAAGACCACAAGAATCCCTCTAATTACAGACCAATCTCTTTGACAAGTTGTCTGTGTAAACTCTATGAGAGAATGGTAAACAGACGCCTGATGTTCCTCCTAGAGGAAAAGAACTATTTTTCACCACATCAGAGTGGATTCCGTAGGAACAGAAGTACCTCTGATAACTTAGTAAACCTTGAAACATCTATACGCGAAGCGTTTGTTAGACGACAGCACTTAGTGTCTGTATTTTTCGATATAGAGAAGGCCTATGATCGCTGTTGGCGATACGGGATACTCCGTGATCTGTACAAATTCGGATTGCGGGGCAATTTGCCAATTTTTATAAAAAACTTTTTACAGAATCGAAGATTCCATGTCAGGATGGGCAACACTTTATCTAGGCCTTTTACGCAAGAAGAAGGTGTTCCTCAAGGCTCTATTTTGAGTGTGACTCTGTTCCTAATTAAAATTAATAGCATCGCTAACTGTCTTCCCCCTAGTGTGAAACACTCTTTGTATGTGGATGACTTTCAGATCTCCTGCCAGTCTAGCAACATGAGCTTTATCGAGAGACAACTGCAAACCTCCCTAAATCGCATAGACAATTGGTCCAAGATTAATGGTTTTACTTTTAATACAGAGAAGACCTCGTGCATCCACTTTTGCCGAAGGCGTGGTTTGCACTTGGACCCTGAAATTCACCTAAATGGTGTTAAAATCCCAATGGTCAACGAGACAAAGTTCTTGGGAGTCATATTTGATTCCAAACTGACATTCTTACCACACTTACGCAATTTGAAGAGTAGATGTTTAAAATCTTTGAACCTTTTAAAGGTACTGTGCTGCTTATCCTGGGGAGCAGACAAAGTTTCTATGCTCAGGATTTACAGGGCTATTGTCCGCTCAAAGCTAGATTACGGATGCATTGTTTATGGCTCTGCGCGAGAATCTACTCTTCGGATGCTGGATCCAATCCACCATCAAGCATTACGTTTGTGCACTGGTGCATTTCGAACTTCTCCTGTCCAAAGTTTGTATGTGGATGCTTATGAGCCTCCACTATCTCTCAGGAGAGAACAGTTGTCTCTTTTCTATTATATAAAACAGAAATCGCATACTAAACCTTCAGTTGATTGTACAGTATCAGATACTCAGCTGAAAAGGTTATTTGAAGCTCGGAGAAGTAGTGTCCCCACATTCATCATAAGAATGGAGAATGTAAGCAGCACAATTGACCTTAACACATGCAACATCTCACAGGTTGAGGTTAATAGTATTCCACCTTGGTCAATTCCAGCGATAGATGTTGATTTAAGCTTAAAGCAGTTCCCCAAAGAAACCACGCCAGACTGCGTCTATAGACAGCACTTCGCACAAATTCAACATTGTGACAGGAATTTAATCCCTATTTATACAGATGGATCGAAGTCGGATAACTACGTTGGCCTAGCCTTTGTTTGCCAAAATGAAATCGTGGCAGAACAAATAGCACCGAATTCCTCCATCTTTTCTGCGGAGTTGCAGGCTATTTATTTAGCCCTAAAGTATATAAATAGGAAAGGTCATCGCTGCTGCGTGATTTACACTGACTCAGTTAGTGCACTTCAGGCTCTGATCTCGTATGAACCTAGTTCACACTCCATAGTTACTAAAATTCGAAAACTAATTTGTCATCTGACTACGAGAAATTTTTTTGTGAAGTTCTGTTGGGTCCCAGGCCACGTGGGTATAAGAGGTAATGAAGAAGCTGATACAGCTGCTAAGTCAGCAAGCCCTTCACAGCATACAATGCATATTGAAGGAGGTGATTTGAAGCTGGTCGTTAAAAAACGACTAGCAGAGAGATGGCAAAATATGTGGAACGCACAAATCCACAATAAACTACACGAGATCAAACCTTTGATAGAAAATTGGACACACAATAGGCAGTATGATAGGAGATCTGAGGTTGTCCTTACTCGTTTGAGAATTGGACACACACGACTGACTCATCAATACCTTTTGAAGGGAGATGACGAAGCAGTATGTCAGTACTGCAATTGTACCGTAAGTGTTAAACACATACTTTGCAATTGCATCGCTCTTGATCAATGTCGTAGACAGCATTTTGGAAATGCAAGTTTGAGTGAGATTTTGGGCCAGAGGCCAAAACTTGATAAGTTACTGAACTTTCTTAAAGTTGTAAATATTTATAAAGAGATTTAATTAATTATTCATATACTTATTGATTATTTATTATCATATTTTTTTTATTATTATTTATTATATATTTATATCTGTTTTGTTGTTTGGTTTATTTGATCTTATTCATGTTTATGTGTTGTATCTATATTTTGTTATATATATTATGTTCATTTATTTATTTATTTATTTTACCTTTTGTCTTGGTGCAGCATGGCCTGAATGGCTCTTGTGTCAGAAAACTCGCACCAACCAACCAACCAACCTAAAAAATATTCCGTAGAAAACCCGAACGCCAAAATAGGAGTTGCATGCCATCTCATGTATATGTTATCACAATTCACTTGTGTAATTCAACTTGCCGAAAAAATTCTTGAGAAAAATTGTATTACTGATCACCTTGACCAAAAATTTTCGGCACTTTTAACAAAAGAGGATTTGAAAGGGTTTCGGAAAGATGAAAGTGATAGCACTATAGGAATCTTGACGGACATACAACAAGCTGTTAGTAATATTGGGAAAAGTTCTACAACTGATTTATTTGATCGAGCAAAAGACAGTGCCCCTAGTTATAGAGATGTTTTAAATAAGGAAATTACAACCAAATCAGTTCACGGACCACCTTTACCGAACCACAGTCTTCTTGTATATAGTAATTAAGAGGGTGCTACGTCTGAACAGACTAAAAATTTCTTAACTCAACATGTGAAACCACAAGTAATTGGAGTAGGAATCAATCGTTCATGAAAACTAAAAAATGGGGGCATAGCTGTTGATTTGGATAATAAAGACGACCTTTTGCTATTTACAGACACTGTTAACAAGATTCCTGGTCTCAGCACACGTCTACCTAAAAAGCGATTTCCTTTGATGGAAATCGTTTCTGTCCCTAAAACTGTCGAGAAAGAGAACTTAATATCAGACATTTACGATCAGAATTCATGCTTCTTCCAATATACTCATAAGCAATTTGTAGAAAAAATTAATTTGCGATTCCCTTTAAAACAAAAGAACGACAATTACCTTACATGGATTATCGAGGTGGATCCTGAAATCAGAGATATACTTATAAAGAAGGGAAAAATTCACATACATTGGTTAAATTGCCCAGTATATGATTATATTCCTATAATACAATGCTACCGATGCCTATCTTTTGGTCATTTAGCAAAAAATTGTGCTTTTACTGAAACCAGATGCAGCAATTGCAGCGAGAATCACCTTTACAAAAATTGTACCAATAGACATGAACAACCTAAATGCATCAATTGTTTAACAGAGAAACGAGCGCATCATAACCACAACTCAATGGATAAAAGGTGTCCAATATATATCAGAGAAACGACTAAATATATTTCTAGAACTGAATATACACATTAAATATTTGTATACCTTTAGCTGATTTATCATGAACTACCTAGAACTTTCTAAATCAACTGGACTTTTCGTGGTTGGCAATGAAGTGTTCAACTATTCTGCACGCCAGTCTCCAATTGGCAGATGCTACATTGTGACGTGCATTATTCTGGATGAACATATACCTATTTTGTGTTTAGGAGTCTTGCAGTTTCTGTGAATATGAACTCATATACTGTTAATTTTTTTTCATCAGATGTCAGTTAATGTATATATTGACTCTTACATGTACTTATTTCGTGATATCTGCAGCACATTTTCCCTAGAGAGTGGTGCACTTAATGTTTTGCATCCTGCCAATCTTATGTATATAGATTTGTATATAATTATGATACTTGTTATATTATTTATCTTATCTTAATTTTACTTCATGCATTTATTAAATTTTTTATTGTATTCTCTATTATCACTTATGTTAGCGTAACACATACTATAACACACAGTTTTTTTACATGGTGAACATTTATTATCATATGTATTATTACTGTATCTTATTTGATGTTTTTATTGTAAGTGTAACTCGTGTTATTATGTGTAATATTCCTTATCTTATTTAATGTATCTACTGATTCTTTTACCTGCGAACTCTTTCAATATTTATATAAGCATATATACATATTATTTTGTTTATTCACATAAGTGTAACACATATTATCTTGTGTATCATCATTCTCCTCATAAGAGTTACACATCTTATCTTGCGTGTTGTGCACTTCCTGTTTAGCATTCCGCTAACCTTATGTATATAGATTTATATATAATTTATTACCTGTTATATTTTATTCAATTTTACTTTATTTAATGTATTAACTGACTATTTCTTTATCTATATATTTTCATCATTTATAACAGTATCTTCTAAATCCTGTGTATTATTATTATTTTGTAATGTGTATAACCAGTAATGCTTATGCGGGGCCAGTCCGTACTTTTAATGTACAATATTAAAATGAATGAATGAATGATGGTTTCTGTTTTAATGATTTAGATGATAAAATCTCACCAGTAACAGTGGAGACAAGTTATCCACGTCAGAGGTAGGGCCACATCCAAACTGAGTCATGATTAAAATGATGAATGTAAGAATGGCTCTCAGTCAGATGCAGGATTATTTGCTGATACACTCCTTCCCAGGCACAGGTCTCGTCCAAGGAGGGGCAAGAACATGTTCAAAAAGAACAATGCAATTCATGAACCTTTCAGTCCTTAAGAAGTCTCTTTTCTGGGCATCCGTTTTCTTTATAGATACATGGCAAAGCTATAATTTTGGCTAATTTCTTAATTCTCCCTGACAAACTGGGCATTGTCGGACTTGGGTTTTACAACGGGAACAAACTGTATGTCCCGCTGAACATTGGAAAGTAGGGGGTGTCATGTAGTCATAACAGACCAGACACTCGAACAAGGCCATTAGAGCGGGATCCGGAAGAAGCCTGTTCTGGGGTTGTCACAGCTCTGTCTTCTTCCATATTCTCGTCTCTATACAAAAAGGAAAAGAAAAGGTTGTTGAGTCTCTATTTTCTAACTAAAAAATTAATACATAAGGCTACCAATTTAGGAGGTTAAATTATTTCGCGCGTTTTATAACCGTCTCATTTGTGAGGGAATTGTTTCAAAGCCGACGGGAAGTGTTACAGATTCTTCCCATTTAGGTAGGGTTATTGGCTCCCGCTCATCCTCTCTTTCCTCTGGGATGTTGGGAAGTGGTCTAGCTTTCACCGTAATCGGTAACCGTTCGGTCACCGTTCCGTCCCACAGATATTTGCTTTTTGGCAAGTTGTCCTCTGGTGATGAAGTTGGGCATTAGCTTGTAGATGTTTATTATTGTGAGTGGAGGTGGTACCCACTAGTAGCGGAACATTTTGATGTACTTTAAAGTAACTAAAGCCTCCTGACAGGTGGCGAGAGGAGAGAGGATAAGATATTTCAAGATCTTGGCGTTATTTGGTGTGCTAAGGATAGTCATTTAGAATTCTTTGCCAGTTATTGGTGAATTTGGGACAGTAGTCGAGGCAGTGCGAGGATGTGTTAATCTGGTCGGGCATGTACTACATTTGTCCGTATTTTTAATTTTCCGGGTGCAGAGAAAGTGGTTTGTAAGCAGAGAGTTGGTTCTGGCTCAATTAATAAGGACATTTATGTGGTGATCGGTGATGGAGGGTATGCTGGTATGAGAGCAGTTCTGTAGCCAGGGGTATTCAGAGCGATTAGGATAGTGGTTCTAGGCATCTTCCATATTCTGCTGGAGATTGGCAAGCAGGACTCCAAGGAGGTCTTCAAGTCTGATGTAGTTGGAGTTAACAGAGGTTGGTGGATTACTTTTGGCGAGGGCATCAACTTTTTCATTGATTCCGATGCCTAGATGGGATAGAGTCCAAACGATGTGTAAGTGTTTTCCTTGGCAATAGTGTGTGTGGAATCCACACACACTACTCCCCTACCATCATTTGAAGCATTCACAATTGCCTCTACTCTGAGTGAATGCTTTGAATGATGGTAGGGGAGTTGACATTATAGTTAGTCAAGGCGGAGAGGATAGATTTGGAATCTGTGCAGATGATGGCATTGTCACAAGAGGTAGTGGCATAAGAGATTGACTGCAGGATGGCATACCCTCGGCCATGAAGATGGTGGAGTCAGGGTGGAGGGTGTGGTGGGCTGTGACATTGTGAGTGTCATCGATATCTGTGGCTGAAATTCTGTGGAGCGTTTTGGAGCCATCAGTGCCAATGAAGATGAGGGAAGGATGATGGTCGCGCCAGTTCCTAAACAAAAGACGGATGCTGTCATTAGGGTTGTTTGTGCACTGGAAGTCATAGTCGTCGAGAGAGATATGGTGATGAGTGTAAAGGCGGGAGTTGTGAGAGGAGAGATTGTCAAGCGCAATGGTGATGTTGTGGCGGATGAAATGGTTGAGTGGAATTTTGACCAGAGCAACACCATCTGGATGGTGAATGTGTTGTAAAATCTCGTGTAAGAGAGACACACAATCTTTTATTTAGGTACATATAAAACGTACATTTCCGGTACCACATAGGCATAACCGGATTAGTTATATTTGTAACTATATTCAACAATTATTTAATAACAAATCATGAGTTTTTAATTAAAGTTTTCAATTAAAGTTTAGGATTATTCTAGAATAAAGATGAAGACATCATTAATTAGTAAAATAGTTTGTGATATAACAATATTATAAATTATTTGTGACATTTCTTTTCGTATCAATAAATATTAATATTTATATATACATATATAAGTTTTCTAACAATGTCTTTAAGTATTTAAATAACATATATATGTGAGGTGAAACATAGTTATTTAGTTAACAAAATATAAACAATTTTTAATACAATTGTAATGAATGCTATAAGTTTAAGAATAACAATAACATTTATGATTATTTATATTCACATATATAAATTGTGGTTTGTATGATATGTTTTATTTAATTTTAATTTTAAAATTCTATAATAAAAATTTATATTAGAGAGAGTAATATGACAGTTCATATTTGGATATGAGAGAGTGAATATAACAGTTCATATTCATTTAACACTCATTCCAATTTGCCTGAAGATCCTCATTGATCTTCAAATCACAAGACACTCCTTGCAGTCCACAAGCTGATCAACAACAGTTCGATTGGAGAGTTCTGAACAACATTCTTATTCAGTCTCTACGGCACCCCTTCCCATCCACCTGATGATCCTCGAGTATGATCCTGGGAGAGTCACAATCGATGAGTTCGCCACGCAAAATCACCGGGATGAATCTTGAAAGAGTTTCACAGATCGACGAGTTCATAGTTTTTCAGAAAGTCACCTTCTAGAATTTCTGTCCTTCCAGCCCCACCAACAATAACTCAACAAAACACCATTAATATGTTGTGAGACTCGAAAATTTCTCCAAAATTCCTCTAATCATGGATTAACCGATTATTGAAATCAATAACAGTGTATCGTAATTTTGAAGTTACGCTGTCACAATAATTTGCTATACATCAAGACCGCAACACCGATCAAAGCAATGACAATCACAGAGAGTCTTAAAAGTTACATACTGAGTACCCAGAATTTATTAAATACTGTTAGGTCCGAAGTACCATGATGTGCAGAGGCATTACGAGTATATACATATATATACGAGTTGAAGGCCCTCCACTTACATACACTATGGCTTCGTTAATCGTATAGAGCTATTGTTATATGTGCCGTAGTTCGTAAGTTTGTAGGTAATTGGTTTATGGTGTGAACACCAGTTATTTGTTTTTTTAATTTTTGTAGAAATTAGATTTAATTTGGTGCTTTAATTATTGCTAAAGCAGATGCACTATCGCTTATAATGATGATGTTTTTGAGTTTGTATTCTCTGTTTGTCCACCATCAATTAGGTATGTATTGTGTTGATATCGTTGTATTTTTTAATGAGTATTTGTAGATAGTAGAACATTTCCTTGTTATTAATCAATTCGTGTTGTGTACAAGGCCAAGAAATACCTAGCTGAATAGCAATTGTTTATAGGTCGAGTCATTCTTGTTCAAGCATTAGGCAGTTGAATATATAGTGTTCACTCCCATCAACCTCACCACATATTGAACATCTATTGGTATTTAAGTTTGCAAATCTATTTAAGTACTTTGCAAATTTTCCATGATCAGTGAAGAATTGTGTTAATAAGTGTGTAGGTTGTATCCAATGATATTTGTATATGTCCTTTATAATTGGGAAGAACTTGTACGTAGTTTTCTCTTTGTATGTATTCCATTTCTGTTGCCATTTATACAAAACATTATTCCATAAAAGTTTTTTTAGCTGTCTGTAAACTAATTTTGTTGTATGATATTGTTAAATTTTGGTCATTAGTGGCCAACTTAGCCAATTCATCCGCTCTTTCATTCCCGATAGTTCCTTCGTGTGCTCTGGTCCACATGAAACTGTAGTTGTTTTTAGAGGCAGTTATTTCTTCTTTAAATCCAATTTCTACAAAAATTATAAGCGATAGTGCATCTGCTTTAGCAATAATTAAAAGCACCAAATTAAATCCAATTTCTACAAAAATTAATTTGGTGCTTTTAATTATTGCTAAAGCAGATGCACTATCGCTTATAATGATGATGTTTTTGAGTTTGTATTCTCTGTTCATGGAAGAGACAGTCGTCGTTCGCTTTTTTTAGGTACATGCTGTACTGATTGATGATGATTTTTTGGAAGCACAGTTCAATCATGGTCATTTTCACTGCCTAGAGGGTAATGATGATGTTGATTGTAGGGAGAGACCCAGACATTATTTGAGGTACTGTGTTTGAATGCAGTCGAGGATCTTATAATGATTGGACATGAGGGATGCAATGTCAGGGATTGTGTAGGTTATAATGCTACCGATGATGCTGTTGGCTATGATGATGAGGTCTTTGGGGAGCCATCGTGCTTCTTGGTGCAGATTATCTTGAAGATGTTAAGGAGACGATTGCCTTTGTTGTGGATGTAATGGATGTGGGCAGACCAGGAAAGTGTAGTTGTGATGTGGGATGCCAAGGAGGTTGACCCTGCGAACAACAGGGAGGGTTTGACCTTCAATGGAGAGGTTCTGAGTATACTGAGTGTTGTAGGGGATAGGGAGAATGGTGCTCTTCTGAGGATAGCAATAATCGTACGGAAGCAAGGAAGGAATCGAATTGCATCGGAGTTGGGAAGTAACGACAAATGAAATATCCAAGAGTGGTGAAAGGACCCTGGCTGATTAATAGCAAGTGTCACATTATTTCAGTGATAATAAACATGTTTTTGTTTCCACATGGTTATCACCTGATTTGTCATCAACGTGCCAAGGAAACTGCCCTACTCAGATTATCATGCAGGCAGATCGACGAATTAGGTCCTCCATGTAATAGATTGTGAAACTTATCAATATCGCTATTCGCAAATAATGAGCGGTTGATTGTGATCGTCGGGAAGTATTATGCCTTGTATAATCTGTTACCAGTGAATGGCCGATGTTAGCCATGACAACTTGTATACGTGCAAAAAATTGATATAAAATTGTTTTCTTTTGCTGAATAATGCTGTGAAGTCTTCATTTATTTTCTTACCCCACCTCAAGATCTGGATCACTTTGGTGCTACCCTCGATCTACAATGCCATAAGAGGGAGTTGCCTTTAAGGTCTTTCTAAATGGCATTTTGAAGAAGGAGGTGGTGCTTGATGGAGTTGTAGGCATGGCATATGTCTAAGAAGATGATGATCAGACTTTAGTTAGCGTTATGCAGTATGTGGATGTGGGTCATGAGATGGTTGAGGAGGTCTGTTGTGCCCGTGTCAGGGAGGCACCAAAGCATTTCTGGTTAAACCATTTTTTGGCGATGGCTACACAGGTTCGTCGTTGGAGGATCATTCTCTCCAGGGTGTTGCAGACTGTAGATGTGAGGGCGATGGGCCGGTAGTTCACAACATTTGTCAAGTACTTTTTGGGTTTACTAATAGGAATAATAGTGGTTTTCTTCATGGTTTATAGGGCCCTTGTTTGCTCTAAGCTGGACTACGGTTGAATTATTTATCGCTCTGCGCGAGAATCTACTCTTCAGATGCTGGATCCAATTCACCATCAAGCTTTGCGTTTGTGCACTGGTGCATTTCGAACTTCTCCTGTTCAAAGTTTGTATGTGGATGCTTATAAGCCTCCACTATCACTCAGGAGAGAACAGTTGTCTTTTTTTTATTACATTAAACAAAAATCTCAGAAAAAACTTACAGCTGATTGTACAGATACTCAGCTGAAAAGATTATTTGCCGCTCGGACGAGTTGTGTCCCTACATTCGACATAAGAATGGAGAATGTAAGCAGCACGATTGACCTAGACACAAGCAACATCTCACATGTTGAGGTTAATAGTATTTCACCTTGGTCATCTTCACCGATCGATGTTGATTTAAGCTTAAAGCAGTTCCCTAAAGAAACCACGCCAGACTACGTCTATAGACAGCACTTCGCAGAAATTCAGCATCGTAACAGGAATTTAATTCCTATATACACCGATGGATCTAAATCGGATAACTATGTTGGCTTAGCCTTTGTTTGCCAGGATGAAATTGTGGCAGAACAAATAGCACCGAATTCTTCCATCTTTTCTGCGGAGTTGCAGGCTATTTATTTAGCCTTAAAGTATATAAATCGGAAAGGTCATCGTTGCTGCGTGATTTACACTGACTCAGTTAGTGCACTTCAGGCTTTGATCTCGTATGAACGTAGTTCTCACTCCATAGTTATTAAAATTCGAAAACTAATTTGTCATCTCACTACGAGAAATTTTTTTGTGAAGTTCTGTTGGGTCCCAGGCCACGTGGGTATAAGAGGTAATGAAGAAGCTGATACAGCTGCTAAGTCAGCAAGTCCTTCACAGCATACAATGCGTATTGAAGGAGGTGATTTGAAGCTAGTCGTTAAAAAACGACTAGCAGAGAGATGGCAAAACGTGTGGAATGCACAAATCCACAATAAACTTCACGAGATCAAACCTTTGGTAGAAAATTGGACACATAATAGGCAATATGATAGGAGATCTGAGGTTATCCTTACTCGTTTGAGAATTGGACACACTCGACTGACTCATCAATACCTTTTGAAGGGAGATGACGAACCAGTATGTCAGCACTGCAACTGTGCTGTAAGTGTTAAACACATATTTTGCAACTGTGTTGCTTTTGATCAGATTCGTAGACAGCATTTCGGAAATGCAAGCTTTAGAGACATTTTGGGCCAGAGGCCAAATCTGGATAATATACTGGACTTTCTGAAAGTCATTAATATGTATAGAGAAATATGATGATTTTATTATTGTATAGTTTTATTTACTTCATGGTGCATATTTAAATTATTGTATATATTTTTTGTTGTTTATTTATTTATTTTTTGTTGTTGTTTATTTATTTATTTATTATATTTTAGATTATATATATATATATTACTATTGGCCTTTTAATGGTTAAACTGTTTGGTATATATGTGTTTTCCTATTTACTGTATTTTGTACCTTCAATCATACCATGTGTAGTGGTGCAGTATAGCCTGCATGGCTTTTGTGCCAATAAAAATTATCTAACCAACCAACCAACCAACCATGTCGTGAAAGCAAGAAAACCACATTTGAACTTTCCTACTGTTTCTCGGAGTTAACACGACGCTAATTATAGTAAAAAAATTATTATTTAGTGTTATTAATCATCATATAAATACTTTTAAACAGTTTAATTTGTTTATTTACCTTTCCTGGTAATCCACCGTGCAAAATGCTTCCGCCATTTTTTTCAACTTATTTCCCGTGAGTCAATGCGCGATGTTCATTGAGTCACGTGATGTTATGAACGGGTGCCTCAACGATTTTTACTTGGATTTGAAACGTGTAACGTGTACTTCTGCTACCCGTACACGTTTAATGTTTGAACTTGTGCCTCAACCTCTCTATTATT